GCTTCCCCCTCCCCCACCCCACCCCTCAGGGACAGAATAGGTCACACCTGGACTCGGGACCCCGACAAACAGTTACGCGGCTCCGGGGCCCCGATGCCAGTCCCTTCGTAGCGCCACCCGGGGAGGTTTTAGCCGGTAGGAGTCCGGCATAACCCTGGCCCATCCCCGAGGGTCAGGGTATCCATGATGGATTTCCTCCTCGTCAAAAAAAAAAAAAAAGGGTGCCCTCGTCAGGGCTCTTACGTATGTGTACGAGTTGTCGGAGCACGTTTGGTACCTCCATAAGAGGGGTGCCAGATGCACCAAGGGCGCTCGCGAAGACCGGAGGGCCCTCCTCCGTATGGAGGAGAGGGCCCTCTGCACCGAGACCACACTCCGAGAGGAGGAGGAGGTTTCGGCCGACCTCCGCGCGGTACTATGTGCGGCGGAGGCCGAACTGGAGGATCTGCGCAGGCGGGAGGCCCGCAGCAGACCAGTAGTGGAAGGCGTGGCCGTGGTGGGAAGGACCTTACCGCGGCCCGCCGGACGCAGCAACCCCCCGAACCCCAAGTAGAGGCAAAGGCCGCGGCCGACACCCCTCCATCGGAGAGGGACTGGACCGCGGTCACAAAGAAAGGGAAGAAGAAGAAGAAGAAGAAGAAGAAGCTGCTGGTGGAAACCCCAACAGCAGGGGCGGGGCCAGGTGGAGGCGTGAGCAGTGGGGCAGCCACTACGGAGCGCACCCGGCCAAGGTTAAGACGGGGGCGGGGGGAGGAGGTACCCCTCCCAAATCAAAGATGAGGTGGCCGCGGCTGCCGTCGACTGCGGCGGTAGCAATCCGGCTCGGCCCGGTGGCCTCCTATGCGGAGGCCCTGTAGAAGGCAAGGGACGAGATCCCCCTTGGGGAACTCGGGATCCCGAGCGTGGAGGTAAGACGGGGCGCGGATGGCGCCCTACTCGTCCGCGTCAAGGATCCCGGCCTCAAGGGGGAAAAGGTAGACGGGCTGGCGGTACATCTCAAGGAGGTGCTGCCGGGGGCGACGGTGAGCCGCCCCGAGTTGAGGGGGGAGGTTCAACTCATCAGATTCGATGAGTCGGCCTCCCCCGGAGTGCTGAGAATGGCCTTCGCAAAAAGCGCGGGGAGCGCGGCGGAGGTCATTCAATTAGGCCCACTTAGGTGGGGGGCGAGGGGAAAGGGAGCTGCGTGGGAGCGGCTCCCGCTTGCTGCCGCCTTGGCGGTAGCAAAAGGAGAAGGATTTGCGCTGGGGTGGTCGGCCCTCCGCGTGGAGTTGCTGGCGGCTCGGCCACTCCAGTGCTTCAAGTGCTGGGGGCTGGGCCACACCCGCGCGGGCTGCTCCTCGTCTATCGACAGGAGCGGCCTGTGCTTTAGGTGTGGTCGCAGCGGGCACACCGCGTGGCGGTGCCTCGAGGGACTCCGTTGCGTGGTGTGCCACGAGGAGGGGCGCGCCGCCAATCAAAGGATGGCGGGGACATCTTGTGACATGATGGCGGCGCGCCGGAGCAGTGGCGGTGCTAGCCGTCGGCGCAGGGAGCGCCGGCGGTGTCGCGGCCGCACATCGACTCCGCAGGTCGAAGCGGCAGCGGCCGGGAAGGCTGCTGCGGAGGACGCTCAACGCCCGTCAGTAGGGCCACTGGCCGTCGCCGGCTCGTTCGGCGACAGCTTAAGCGGCAGAATGGAGGAGCAGCGTAACCGGCTGGGGACGGGTCCTGTTCCTCCAAATCCCACCACTGATCAGTGGTGGGGGGAGGGAGAGGGAGTGATGCTCCTCTCCCTCGTGCCGGCTGGTCGGCCGACATAAGGCCGGAGGCCGGGTATATAGCCCGGTAGGACGCCGCACTTGCGCGGGTAGAGCTCAGTGCGGCGTCAGAAGGTGGGAGGACGACGCATTTATTTTTCTTTATTTTGTCTTTCGATGGGATGTGCCGGGCCGACAAGAAATAGGGGAACCTCTTCGAAAGCCCCGTACACAGTCTCCTAGGCCGGTATTTGCATCCCCAGGAGTTTTAGTGGGTGAGAGTCCCACATAACCTCTGGATTCGCCAGGGTCCAGAGGTATCAATAAGGGATTTCTCCTGGGTAAACAGAAAAAAAAAGTCTAAGATGTTAAAAGGGACTTCGTGTCACTGAACCGCGCAGTGGCCACTTCTGAGGCGGTTCTATCGACCCTCATCGCGAGGATCGCGGCGCAAAATGGTGAGGAGGACGCCATCCCCGAATTAATGATGGAGCTGGAAGAGATGCGGAAGAAACTAAAAACCCTCAGGGCGGAGAACCGCAGATTATCAGAGGAGGCGAAGGCCAGAGAATTACTCTCTGGCCTAGCACCAACACACAGGTCCCGGCAAAGATCTATACGGAGGCTGCGGGAGGCAGCGGTACCTCGGCGGTAGAAACGCCAGGACCAGGGCCGTCGAGGGTCAAGAGAAGGGAGACGACGAAGAGGAAGGTGTTAGCGGAGAACCCCTATAGTTCCTCGGAGGAGGAAATGAAAGGGGGACACTCTAGCGGAATCCCGATATTCGACAACTTCATGCCGGAGCACGCTCTTCCTCCGGTGTTTCGACTCCCGATTTAGGGGGTCAGGAAGAAGCTGGACGATTCCCTGGCGCACATGGACCTGACCCCTAGAGGAGAGGCGGAATACAGGCGAGGGTCAACCACTTGCTGCAAGTAAGGGAGAGAATAGTATAGGAGGACAGGGGGTCTAGGATCCCGGCTCAGGAGCAGACGCAGTCACTACCGATCTCCCCTCGTGCCCCGATCTTCCCAATCGGGGGGACCCCAGCCAGTCAAGCTGACGGCGGGAGCACGGGAGTTAAGAGAAAACGGACGCGGAATGAGCGTACGGACGCCCAGAAGAGGAGGGACCAGAGGAGAAGGAAGAAGGCGAAGGAAATGCTGAACCAGCAACGGCTGCGGCCCAACACCGGACCAAGAGGGAATCAGAACGGTTCCCTCCCAGAAGGGTGGCAAGGCAGCTCCCCCTAAAGTGACGAAGGCAAAGGGACCAGCGCTGGACCGAAAGGACCAGACGGTGAGCCCCAGCGAAGGCACCAAAAGAGAGGGAAAGGGCCCGTCTTCAGGCCCGAAGGGACCTAAACAGGGCCCAACTCCAGGAGCTTCCAAGGCAAGTCCCAGTACTCCACAAGCACAAACGGCTCCGGTGGAGTCATGGGCGAGAGTGGTTAAGAGAAAGGAAAGGAGGAGGGCGAAGAAGGAGGAGGAGAGGGAAAGGAGCGGCCCGGCTCCCCCTCAACAGCCCTCCAACCCGAGGAAGAGAGGAGCAGCGGTGGTGGCGAGGCCGAGGCCACCCAAATCGGCGGCCTTCACCATCATGTGCCCTAAGGAATCGTACAAAGATTTCATGGTTGAGGCCAGGCGCCGGATCAAGCCCGAGGACCTAGGCATACCAGGGGCCTTGAAAGTGCGCACTGCCCCCACCGGGGCCTTACTGATCGAGGTACCTGGCCTCAACGCGAGGGCTTTCGCCGACCGGCTGGCGGATGAGTTCCAACAGCTGGCGGCGGAAAAGGGCCCCGGTTATCGCGTCCAGAGACCGGTGAAGACCGCGATGCTGCAGCTTATCGGGCTGGACATAACGACCGGGGCCGACGAGGTGATGGCCGCCGTGTCCCTCGCTGGGGGGTGCCCGCCTAAGGAGATTTCCGTGGGTGGGTTCAGCCTCTCCCAGCAGGGGGTGGCTACTGTGGTGGTGCGGTGTCCGCTGGCGGTGGCCGCTAAAGTCGCCGCGGCAAAGCAAGTTCGGATAGGCTGGATCCGAGCCGGAGTGGTGGCGCTGCCCGCTCGTGCGATGCTGTGATACAGGTATTTGGAGCCTGAGTACGTGCGCGAGCGGTGCAAAAGCGCCATCGACCGCAGTGACCAATGTTATTGCTGCGGTAACCCCGGCCACCGCGCCACGCAGTGCAACGCGGCAGCGGCGCACTGCACCGTGTGCGCAGAGGCAGGCAGGAAAACCGATCACAAGGTCGGCGGACCTGACTGCAAACCCCTCTCGGGTCGGGGAAGAAGGAGGGGGGCGAGGAAGCCGGCGGGACCTGGCACCAAGGAAGAGAAGAGGAACATCACTCCTCCCCCTCTTGTGAAAAACAAAAGGGAGACCAGGCCGGCTCCCCCCGAAGAAGACAGGGGAAAGGAGGGAAGCCGCACTGGCCTCCCTCCCAGCGAGGGATGGGGTACCAAAGGAGATGGAGGTGGTCGTAGCAACCCCTGTCCCGGACCCCATCCAGGAGATGGACATCCCGGAGGAGGTGTAGCCCTAAAGGGAGAAAAGGAAGAGGGAAGCCATGGAGGCCACAATGCACATGATGGGACCGGAGAAGTAGACGGCAGCAGCAGAGGAGATGGAGGCAGTATCATCCTCCCAGACGGTAGCGGCGGAAAAAGTGAGGAGGGTGGAGGCTATTGTCGCATCCCCAATAACCGTAGTTGAAGGGAGGTCGGAGGACGCGTCATCTCCGACTTCCCCAATAGAAGGCCCCCCTGGTACTCCCGAGAGGAGGAGTGCGATCAGGCAGGGACCCTCCATGAAGCCTCCGCGGGGGAACCCGAGTTTCCGCAGGAGGAAATTAGGGAAAAGGTAAGGAGGGTAAAAAAACGCCATACCCCCAGCTGTCCTAGAATTGGAGGGGAATCCAGAGGGAGCACCACCCCTGGATCCCCAGGTTGGCGACCCCTCCTCATGCTCCCCAGAGGAGGGGGCTGCGCAGGTAGGGCTTCCATGTGCCTCCGAGAAAACACCCTGTACCCTTGAGGAGGCACCTAGATTGGGAGAGGCCATCTCCCATCGCCGAAACCCCCTCGGAAGGTACGGAATCGGAATCGAAGGTGGATATGTTCACCCCGGTAAATATCCCGCCCTCCGAAGGGGAAGAAGGACGCCCAGAGGAGGCGTGAATGGCTAGTCTTCACGCCCCTCCGGGTCCTACATGCTAACCTCGGCAGCGGCACCCGTGCTCATGACCTGTGGTTTCACAGGATGACTGAGCTGGGTACCGGGCTGGGTTTGCCAACGAAGCCGCACTATATCTCACCAATCAACTCTTGCTGGTTCGGGGGTCGTTGCGGCTCCGCGGCTGTGGTGGCCAGACCCGTTAAAGGGCCCCCCTGTGAACTCAGGGCAGAGGGGAACTCCTTTGTGGCAGTTGACTGGGGGCCCATCATTGTGGTTGGGGTGTACCTCCCCCACTACAGAAATAGAGTCGGTCTGGGTAAACTCGCCCATATTAAAGGGATCCTCGACAGGGTCAGGGATGTGGCACATCGGTGCTACCCCCGGCCCGTCGTGATTGCCGGGGATTTCAACGCCCACTCTAAAGATTGGGGTTGCGATCCCTGGCAGGAGGATTCCCAGGGCGAGGCCCTGATCGACTGAGCGGCGGGTCTGGACCTGCTGCTGATGAACAGGGGGTCAGCCAGCACCTGCGTGCGGCCGAATGGGGAGTCCGTCATTGACGTGGGCCTCCTCTTCGGCCGCCCGAATGTTCCGGGAGTGATTGGTGAAGACCGAGAGTGAAACACTTTCCGATCACTGGTATATAGTGTGGTCTCACGGTCTCCCCAACCCTCCGCGTGTGCTGGACCGCCGCCCAGGGGAGGGGAACTTTCCCACTCAAGAAGGTGGGCTACCAGTCAACTGAATGTGGGCAAGTTCCAGGCAGCCACCATTGTGGCACCTTGATGTGCCAGGTGCGTAGGACCTTGGCCCCCAGGAGGGGGCTAGGAAACTGGTACGCATGGTAGCGTCAATATGTGACGCTGCCATGCCCTGGTCCCACCCCCGCCAGCAGCGGGCTGCATACTGGTGGACGGCGGAACTCTCTGATTTCAGGGAGGCTGCCGTCCAGGCCAGAAGGGACTACGTCCGAGCCCGGCGCCGAGGCGGGGAAGCCGCGAGGGAAAAAGAGGACTACCTCGAATCGAGGAGAGCCCTCAAGGTCGCCATAGCTAAGGGGAAAAGGGAGCCTGGGAGAAGATAGTGAACTCCTTGGACGAGGATCCGTCCCTACAAACGGGCGATCGGAAAGATTCACCTGTGGGCGCCCCCGCAAACGGAGGCCTTGAACCCCCAGGCCCTCGAGGGGCTCCTGGACACCCTCTTCCCGAGAGTGGAAGGGCCCCTCCATATCTCAGCTCCTGAACAGCGGGAGAGGGACTGAGACGAGGGTCTAGAAGGCTCTCCGGAGGAGTTCGCTATGGTCAGGAAGAGACTCGGGGCCAAAGGCAAAGCGCCAGGCCCCGATGGCATTCCTGGTCGCTCCTGGGCTCTCACCCTCGGCGAAAGGAGCCTGCACACAGCCATGCGGGGACACCAGGAGTAGATGCCTCAGGGAGGGGGTCTTCCCCCTAGAGTAGAGAAGGATCAGGTTGGTCCTCCTCCCCAAGGATAGCAAGGTGCCCGGTCGCGCGCCGACTTTCAGGCCGATATGCCTGCTGAACGAGACGGGCAAAATGCTCGAACACATAATCGCCGACCGCCTCCAGCATTTGTCCCTGAGGGGGCCGAACCTCCACGACCACCAATACGGGTTCAGGCCCGAAAGGTCTACGCTGAACACGATCCAGCGACTCCGGGACCCGACCCGGATGGTCGTGGAGAGGGAGGGCGGGATGTTGTTTGCGATGTCATTGGACATCACTAATACCTTCAACACCCTGCCCTGGCCGGAGATTGGGCAGGCTCTCGAATACCACGGGGTGCCCGCCTAACTCCGGCGCATTCTATCGACCTATTTCAGGGACAGGGACCTTGCCTACTCGGGGAGAGGCTGGGTTCAAGGTCGGCGCCCCATGGAACGTGATGTCCCACAGGGTCGGTCCTCGGCCCCCTGCTATGGGACATCGCGTTTGACCGGATAATTCCCTTCCCCCAGTCTGCCACGTCATCTGGTATGCGGATAACACATTAGTTTCAGCCGGGGGAAGGAACAGGGGGAAGCCCGTCTACGAGCGGAGGCGGCACTTACTTCCATAGTGGACACAATCGCTGACCTGGGCTCAAGGTGGCACCCCAGAAAACGGAGGCGGTTTACTTTCATAATGGCCGCAGTGGGGCGCCGCCAGAGACCACGATAGATGGAGTCCACGTCCGCGTCGGACCCACAATCAAGTATCTGGGTCTGACGTTGGACAGCCGATGGAATTTCGGGGCCTACTTTTAAGGCTTTGGCCCCCTAGGTCAAGAAGGCTGGCTTAGCGTTAGCCAGTCTTATGAAGACCCAGGGGGCCCTGGATGGCACGCTCGCCGCCTATACGTCGGTGTGGTGCTCTCGATCGCCCTCTACGGGGCGCCCATATGGGCGTCCCGGTTAATGCCCTCCGGCCGCTGCAAGGCGCTTTTGCGTCAGGCAATGCGGCCGGTGGTTGTGAGGGCGGTTCGGGGATACCGTACTATCGCATATAGTGCGGCGACGGCCCTAGCTGGCTCCCCCCACCCTGTGGAGCTCATTGCCGATCAAAGGCATGTCCTTTATTGGAGGATAAAGGAGCTCCACGAGGCGGGGGAGGGATTATCGGCCAGGGATTTGGGGGTCCTGAAATCGCAGGCCGAGGCCCGAGTCCTCGAAAGGTGGTCGGAAATGTTGTCCGACCCCAGGGGATTCGGGCTTCGAACGGCCGAGGCCGTCCGCCCCTGCCTGCCAGAAATGATGAGCAGGAGGGAACGCGGGCTCACCTTCCACATGGTGCAGGTGCTGATCGGGCACGGGTGCTTTGGTCGGTACCTGCACCGGATTGGAAGGGAGCCCACTGCGGGATACCACCACTGTCCGGCGCTTGAGGACACGGTGCAGCACACTTTGGCAGAATGTCAGGCGTAGACTGATTAGCGCCATGTCCTCGCCCGGGCAGTGGGGTGCCAGAAAGAAGAAAGAGAAACACTCTCGCTCCCGCGCCTGCTCAAATAATGTGCGGGAGCGAGGAGGTATTGGGAGTGGCGCCTCCTTTTGCCGGGACATAATGTCCCGCAAGGAGGCCGCCGAGTGGGAGCGTCGTCCACCCCGTCGCAATCCGCGACGTTCCCCAGGAGGGGAAAGTGGGCCCGAGGTGGTGCCAGCCGAGGAGGAGAGGCCACCGGCTCGCTGGAGGCCGTCTCCTCAGCCGCCTCGGGCCCGACTTCGACGCAGCAATGGGGGGTGGGTGAGAGGGAATGAACTTTCTCACCCACCAGTGGCGTCGGTAATGGTAGGGGCCTCACTCCCCTGCTCCCCTCTACACACCCAGTAGATAGAGGGGGAAAGGGGGCTGAGAAAGGAGGGTGGGTGTCTCCTCTCTCCTAAATTAAACCGGAAGATCAACCTGGTCGGATAACCGGCCAGGACACCGCGCCCTAAACTCCCAGCTAGGAAGGGGAGCGGTACTTGAGCTCCAGCAGAGCCTTGGGGCCAGGTTGTCGGGGAGGAATGCAGGCGTACTTCCCCTTACTCCCCCACTTCGGTCCGAATGGTAGACACCCCGTAGCGGTTTTAGTCGGTAAGAGTCTGACATAATCCCCGACCCCCCCAAGGGTCAGGAGTATCCATGATGGATTTCCCCTGCGCGACCAAAAAGAAAAAGGTAAATTAATGTTCGCACTCTGTCGCAGCTGTTGCGAAACATTCTCTCAAATAGCGTGTACACATGAAAATCCAGCCGATCGTGAATTCGAAGGCACATGGGTCTCTTGTATACCGTAACCCTAGGTCATTTCTCTGGGGCCGGTGGTCTTGCCTTAATTGGCCAGACCGCAAGGCGGGTCCTCAATAAAATACACGTAATTCTACGGTTGAGGAATGCTACGCCTATGGGATGAATGGCAGGTGCGTGACCTGTCGCTAGTTCCTTACCCGCGAAACCTGGCACACCGCGGGGACATGCCAGCCTTATCCCGGGTAATGCGGGTGGCCTACCCGGGATTGACGCCCACTTCCCGCCGAACTTGTGGGACTCAATATAATTTCCAAAATTTTAAACACAAATTCCGAGCTTTCGGGCTCAGAGCCTTCGGGCTCAAAGTCCCGTACGGACGGGCATGGCAGCCCGTCCCAGGACTTACCTCCCCCTGTCATTCCGATAGGGGGTGATTTTTCTAATGATAGTTTGGGTGAAGAAATGGGAGGAAATCAACCGGCGATTGCCTCCTCCTCACCCCCCGAGGAGGGTAAAGCGATGGACCTCGGAGGATTAGCCTCCGGGGGGCCATCTAGTGAAGATCGACCACCGTCCTCGCCGGCAAGTAGCCGGCGGCTCTCTCCTGACCGCAGGGGTGGAGCGGTGAGCCCGTCGGCTAGGTTACGGGCGGCCACCCAACGTGGGACCATGAAGCGCCTGGGGTCCGGTAGTAAAATACCAGGGGCCAACAGACCGGGCCCCCGCTTTATTAAGGTAAAGAGGAAGCCCTTCCCCATTATCAGGAGGACACGGGGGGGACCCTTCCCAAGAACAAGGAGGGGGCAAGTGGGAAAAGCCTGAGGAGAGGAAAGGGAGAGGCGGTGAGGGAGGCAGCGAAGTCGGGGCGGACTACCGGAGGCCCGGTGATCCGCTCCGACATGATTCTTTCGCAGGGCTCGAGGATCCTGGTCCAGGACGTCAGCAGGGCTGCTCAGGCTCCGAGCAAGGCTGCTCGGACCTCGACGTCGAAGGCTGCACAGGCCTCGACGGTAAAGGCGATAGGCAGCACCAACAAAGCCGCTCAGGCCTCAACATCGAGGGTGACAAAGGGCACTGGCACCGAAGGAGAAGGAACCATCAACATCACTAGTGGGAGGAAGAGGGCCAGAGCTGGTACCAGCAGTGGCTCATCAGTGGTGGAGATGTCTTCTCTGATAGCTGTCCCGAAGAAACGGGGAAGGCCCGTAACTACGGGTGAAGGGGTGGGCATCAAGGAGAGGAAGGAAGAGGAACTGAAGAGAAGGAAGGAGGCTGAGCTGCAGAGGCTGGAGAGGGAGGCCGGGGACCCCTTCGGTAAGGGTCTGTTTCGTTCGTTGGAAGACACACGCCCGGCCAAAGACGTTTTTCGGGATCCCTCCTGCAAGGAGCTGCTGAGGGAGGCCGGTGCACCGGAACTGGCCTTGGAAATGGGCCGTGCGTTGGACGCGGTTCGAATAGTGGCACGGAGGTCAAAGATCCTTAAGGGGACTATTGTGGCGCTATTGAACCGCGCCGTGGCCACTTCCGAGGCCGTTCTAGCTATTCTGATTGCCAGGACGGCGGTGCAAGATGGAAGGGAAGAAGAGGTCTCCGCATGGAGAAAGAAAATGGAGAATCTCCGGGAGGATAACAGGAGGTTGAGGGTGGAGACTAGGCGGCTCGCTGAGAACCTGAGAGTGGTGAAGGGTCAGGGGCTGTCTTCGCCCCCCGACCCCCTTGCGTTTCCCCCTCTGCTTTCTGATTCCAGGA